TTAACGTCACAACATAAGTTCTTCAGTTCAGTGAAGATTTAGAGAAAGAGCTTCTTCCTTGGATTATGCAGTGTTAAAACACTCAGATCAGATAAAGTTTTCTTTAACTTGAATTTTTTCAATTTTCAACAGCTTATCTACTGTATTTTCCAGTTTGTTAAAATCTTTTCCCACATTACTACAGTTGTAAAGAGTCCATCGTGGAAGAAAGTCTAAATCAAAGGACTCCTCTACTGGCTCCCTACCATGGAGTACAAGGTACAGGAAGTGCTTCCAACAGAGAGCTACGTAGTTAGTTACACAGTACAACCCGTCTAGAAGACTTGCAAGGGACTAGGACTTGACTTGGTCTCTTTGGAGAAAAGCAGAGGCAAAGGAAGAAATAGACTTAAAAAACACCTTAAAAATTCCTTTATGAAACTGAATGCTTGCTTCCCCTTAGATCTCGTGCTACGGAAAGGAAATGAGGCACAATGAAACTACGGGCACAGAAGAAATATATCAGAAACAAAAACAACTTTCAATGCGATGGAAACCCTTCACCATTAGATGGCGTGGCGATCTCCTTCCCCTTAGAAACGAGGGACCTGCCAGCGAAAAGGTGTCTCACAGATGCTCTGAAGGGCGACACTAAAATAGCGTTATAACCCAAATCATATAATCTTCCAGGACATTGCTGGCTTTTTTTTCTAAAGTAAGGGTGACCTCAAATCAAGTGTGTGGTCGTATGCCCAGAGGACTGTTCGTTCAGCAACAACGTTCTCAGTCTGTCAGACAGCTGCCCCACCCAGGGCACCCACGGGTGTCAGCAGCTGATGCTCTTCCCACGGAGCTTAAAGCTGTGACAGACGCTGGACAGGGCTCTGCAGAGCAAGCTCTTCCGGTGGCGACCAGGTGACCGCCGACAGCACTGCTCGGGTGGCTGCCCTCCCCGCCTGGCCGTCACGACTCCAGCAACGCGTGCCACCTGCACACCGGCTGTCCTTTGGACTCCTTCATCTCAGTCCAGTGACTGAGCTCCTCCTCCCCAGAGCTGTTCAGGCCTAGAGAGATCCAGCCGATCATCTCTTTCCTCTTCATGCTGCGCTTGTTGTACACAGACAGGATAAGCGTTACGTCCGACAGCTGGAAAAGGGCCACCTGGAACACGAAAGTTTCCTTGTACACTGGATTCGGCCGCCCTCTGCGGATGGATGTCTTGCATTTGGACATCTCTTGACCCATGGAATTCAGCAGAGTTAACTTAACATACGTATCTGAAGGGGAAAAGACATCGACATACTGCAAATATCATTTGAAACAAACTCAAAACAACTTCTCATAATAAGTGCTGAGAATATTAACTATTTAGACTTATAAGGATATGGTGTATACCATGTTTAATGGAAATTTAACCAATTCCATTTTGATGTACATGCTCATAAAATGTGACAAGTACAGAAAATGCTACGTAGGCCAGAAATATTTGGGAGTAGTAGTCTCTTACCTCACTATTTCTACATGAGAGAATTTAAAGGTATACCTCATAATCCTTCCTCCTCCTCCACCCACCGTGGCCTCCCACGACCTCCCACCATCACCGCCGCGCTCAGCTCCACCAGCAGGACACCACAGCATTAAGGAACACTTAGCAAGCTCAATTAGCCACAACACTGGAAAGCATTCCACTGGTTTTCAGAGAATAAGAAGAAACAAACAAATAGAAATGAAGGCAAATGGTACAGTAGAAGAGAGAGACAAGAATGCAAAGATGACATCAAAAGAGCATAGGATGAAATGTCAAAAAAATCTCTGCATGGATGTGGTTTTTAAATATATTTTTAAAACATTTGAGGACTAAAATGAAGCCAAATGCATTAGGGTTCAAAGTTTAGCAAACCAAGTAAAACTTTCTCCTGGTTTCATGCAAGAGTACATTTAATGTGCTTTTGGGGGCAGCTCAAATAAACACGGTAGGGTTTCTCGTAGGCACAGTTTAATGTGAATTTTTAAGTATGATATCGTAACTATTTTTATGAGTTGTACAAGAAATTGATGTGATGTTTCGTGTACAAAGTGAACTTAACATTCCATTGACTGATTGTATCATGGGAGATAAATCCTCTCTTCACAAGACTGTGCTCTTGAGGTCTTAAACGGACTCATGCAAATGACCCTCAGCGTGTCGATCCATCATGTGTACCTCACAGCGAGATTTCAACTGCCTTTCAGGGCCATCGCCATGTTTCTCATGACATGTTTCTGTTGCATAAATCAAAATACAAATGGGAAGATAAAGACTTTTATTCCAAAGAGTTTGGCTTATTGTAAGATACTCCGAATACCATCATCCATAATCAGAGATATATTCTAAATTAGTTTTATTTAAAGTACCACAGATAATAAATGTGCATTTTTTCGGAAACCAACATGGTGGACAGCTTCACTGCTGGCAAGTTTTAGGGTATTTTGTTTTTGCATGAAAAGACAACATCCAATTAGCCTCTACAAGACTCACCTCGGATTATATAAACCTGTCCACCTATCAAGTGTTTTAGACAACAGAACAGTCCATCTGACAACAGGGGGTGGAAAGCAGTAAAAGAAATAATGACCAGATGTCAATCGCTGGGTGAAAGAGGGTCAAAGGTCAGAATTAAAGAGGAAACACTGTTCACGGGTGTGGAAAACACAGAGCTTCAGCATTTTAATTCAGGTAGAGGGTTGAACAAAGGTTGCTGGGTAAATTTCATGGAATGAAAATTTTCAGTCACTGTGTAATCTTAAAAATTACCCTGTTTTAAAGGGGACATCTTTATAATGATACCCTCTTGGTCTAAAGCACATTGAACATAGAATCATGCAAATTATCAAATATAAAAGACTGACTAAAAGTCATTATAGGATTATCATTATTGTTATACTAAATTTTAAGTTCATCCATGCAATATTTAATATTCCAAACAGTTTTATTACTCCCAATGTAATATGAAATTAAGTTATGCAAAATAAAATACAGCTATCACAATGTTTGCTCTTGAATGCTGCTATAGTTTCTTTGGATAAAATTGGAATTATTCCATATATAACATATTCAGAGCTTAGAACTAGGTATAAATGAAGGGTTAGAACCTTATGTACTATACACAGTCTAGAACAAACTAATGGAACTGTCCTGCATTTTACTATATAAATAGCCCACTTTCATATACTCATTTAAAAATTGACTCATAATGGTTATTTTCTGGCTAACATTAACCAACCTTATATCAAGTAATTCTAAAATAATGGCAATTGGTGTAATCCAGTTCCACGGGGAGAGTGATTCCCTGCTTGAGTGATAATCTTCCCTAGGTTATTTATACCCAACCCTGCCCTGTTCCTTCTCAATTCTGATTCCTGCTTCTCTATTTATATCAGAATATTATTCCGCTACTCCAACATCACCAGTGAAGCACTTTCCCAAAAGAAACTACTCAACTATTAGCTAAGCACCAGTGACAAATGGACAGCTGTGGCTCAGCCTGATCTTGAGCAATGCTTATTCTGGTGCATGGAGTGGTGCCTTTCCATCTGGGTGCCTTGGGCCAGGGGGGCTCTGGCTGTGGCCAGGTCCCTGCATGGGCACCTGTCATTTGCAAATCTTTCTCCTACGGGTTCCATCTCAGGCCATTCTCAGTGCGTAAGAACTAAGAACGAAGATAATCAAGCCCCACCTCCTAGTCTGTTTATTCTAGGAATGGCCTCTTTCCTCCCGTGGCATTTCGCTTTTGAAATGAAAAAGTGCATAATGATAATTTTATCTGTCTTCTACACACCTTTGTCAGATTTGAGTCTCGTAACCCTGTGCAAGACATGACCTTAACTTTACCAATAAAGAACAGATCATTTGTCTAAGAGTAGAAATATGAATATACTTTAGCCTTCGCACTTTTAATTCAGGGATAGACACATTCTACAATAGATATATATAGGAAGCAAGTTTCCCAACATCACTTGGTATAAAAATCTATTTTCATGACTTTTCACCTCCACTGAATAACACATTTTTATGACACTTAGAAGCAAAGTTAATTTGAGGGTAGACAAAGTTTTGCCACCTTTAGTAGCTGCTTAATTCTTGGAGTAAAAGAATACATTAAGCAAGTCTGGGAAACCTGTAAGGTGGTGTTACTGTCAAGGTTTCCTCTCACAGTTTCTGCTCAGGGCATTAACAGCTTTAATTTCAGAGGCGTAAAGACGCTGCTGCCTTCCCAGGTTACAGATGATGGATATCAACAAACAGTTTTAGAGCTACACTGGGGGTCGCTTTCTCTACTCCAAGGACCACTGCACCGTCCTGAACCAAGACAGCATGAGAGAGGAGAGCAGAGAAGTGCTCAGCCCTGGACCAGGTGGTAACCAGCAAGCCTTCCTTACCCTGTCTCCCTTCCTTCCACTGAAGAAAAGTCTCGGCTGGCAGTACTGATTTATGAGCTTGGTTTTTAATTTTTTTTTCTCTTTTTGTAGTGCTGGGGATCAAACCGAGGTCTCATGCATACTAAGCATGTGGTCTACACCAAGCACTACCCCAAGCCTCTATAATTTTAAAGAAGAAAAAATGCACAGAAACAGTTTCTGCTTAAATTGTTAAAGGAAACAGAGAAAGAAATACATTAGTTCATAGTACTGCACACAGAGTCAGCATTAATCTTCAGTTAACAATAACAGCTATACACATTTCTATTCATATTTGTGAACATTATTTACTTCTAAAAAACCTATAGATTTTTCTGTCATTAAAAGCTATTGACTATGATAGGACTACTTTATTCGGCAAACATTAGGAAAAATTAAAATTCCTGTCACCATACAATTAATAGTTTGAATTGCAAATTTTTCTACTTTCCAAATGACTGGAAACAGATTAGCTGATGATTTGGATTTGATTGGTTAAAAGTACAATGATAGGACTGAAACCCCTAACACTGAGAGTCCCATAAGTACAGAAAGCGTGAGAGGTAAAACACGTTCTCACTCACTGGGCGGTCTGTTTGCTGCCAGGTTTTTGAAGTGGCTGCCTTTTATCACTTCTGCAGATAACCTTCCCGTGGTGGCGTTGTAAAGCAGGCCAATGAGAATCTCCGGAACCGAGCCGTGTTCCACGGACTGACAGGAGGATGCGCTCTCACTGCAGGACACCTCTGACGCGCTCACCTGGGAGTCACAGCCCTGCAAACCAAAACCGAAATTTCACAGTACTGCGCAAAACGAGACACTTAGTTACAGCCATGTGCACGGAGTCAGGCAGGTGAACCATGGTGAAGACGACCTGTAAACCACATTCTCCAAACTCAGGTAAGAGACGCTGGCCTCAGCTACCTCAATCCCCCGGTCTCTTCTCGCCAAATTGGAGCCAGAGAAGTGACAGAGATGCTCAGGCTTCATAAATCCCTGCTGTTAATATGCAAACCAGGGAAGACAAATTTCTTAGACTTACAGATACTAATGAACTATTTTCTGAACGTGAAAAGTTGTTCTCTAAAGAGTTATCAACCTTAAAAAAACCGATACCAATTTAGATTCAGTTACATAAGGTGTCTTACCTGTGCATTTAAAGACAAAGATAGGTACACCCTGACAGAGGGAACATAACTATCTATTGTTTATAAGTCAATATCTAAAGCACAGAGATGCAGGAAATCTAGGTTGATAAATTTAGCATTCATATAATAACAAGAAACCGATGCCGACACACACTAGGATCAGCCGTGGTGGGCTTTGAGGCAATGGCTGTTACTAGAGATAAAGAGCATTCAGGGTACTAGGGAGATAAAATAATTCCAAATTTACTTGCATTTCATAGCATGGGCTCAAAACAAAGAAAGCAAAAACTACCATAACTAAAAAGAGAAATAAAGAAACCATAATCAATAGGGGTGTTAGCACACTTCTCTCAGTAACTGACCAATGGTTGGGAAAACAGAAGAAGTTGATCTAAGTATCACAATAAGTAAATTACCTAATGGTGGCATGCAGAACACCATGACCAACAACTACAGAACATATTATTTCCCAAACACACAGGAGAACTTTAAAAAAAAAATAACAACTGCAAAAGATTATAGTGATTCATAACGCGCTGTCAATTAGAAATCCAAACTATTTTATAGAGAAGAATAAAATCTCTACATATCTGAATATTAAGAATAGACTTTTAAGTAGCTCACAGGTAACCAAGACTAATAAAATGAAGAGTCTTATGCAGAGAGAGAAAGAGAGAGAGAGGAGGGAAGGAGGGAGGAGAAAAGGAAGAGGAGGAGCGGGAGGGGAGGACGAGGGGTAAGAAAGAGAAGAGAGAAAGAAGGCACCAATATCAAGAATCAGGAATGGTGTCACACATACTCCATGGAGGATGAAAGGAGAGGACGTTAGTATAAATGCCTTTCTTCCAATCAATCTGAAATTTGGATGAGGGCATATGCCTAGAAAACTATATCTAACGAAAGGGCGCTAGAAAAAATAAAATATCTCAACAGTGTCACTAATGAAACTGAACTTGTAATTAAAACTCCTCCCAAAATAAACACGCAAAACAAAAATAAAAAATGTTACCCAGATGGCTTCGTTAGTGAATTCTAATTTTACTAGTCGTCCACAAATTCTTCTAGATAGTAAAGAGGAAGCACTCCTCAATTTTCTGTAAGAATCTAGCAAAAATCTTAAAACTGAAGTTTAATGGGACATTATGAAAAAGAAAATCACAGAATTTTCTCATTCATAAATGTAGATTCAAAAACCCAAAATAAACTCTTAGCAAACTAAATCCAGCAACAGAAAAAAATTCAGTATTTCTCCTTTGAAACAGCCAACTATTACAACTGCCAGCCGCCCTACTATGGCCGTCCTGACCAGCGATGGTCCTAGTCTTACTAAAGGCAATAAAATGAAATTTTAAAAACCTGCTGGAAGACCAAACAGGTAAACTCCTGTGGTCAAAGGCATAGGGAGAGACTTTGTGAAAAGAACTCTGGTGGTACAGGATATAGTTCCAAGAGTCAACAAATGGGAGTATATCAAATTAAAAAGATTCTGTCCAGCAAAACGGTCAACTGACGGAATGAAGATGACCTAAAGAATGGGAAAGAATTTTGCCAGCTATTCCCGAGACAGAGGACTAATACCTAGAATTGTAAAGAACTCCAAAAAAAGTTAAATCCCCGAACTAAAAAACCCAATAAAAAAATGTGCAAGTGAAGTGAATACACATCACAGAAGCTGAAGTCTAAGGGGCCACTCAGTGCATGGAGAAACGCCCGCCGCCACTGGTCGTTAGAGAAACACACACTGAAACAACACTGAGATCCCATCCTACCCAGAAAGAAAAGATGCCAAGAAACCAAATTATAACAAATGCTGGCAAGGCTGTGGGGCGAAAAGAAACTCCTACATGTAGGTAGGAGTATAAACTAGTATAACCACTGTGGAAATCAGTATAGAGATTCCTCAAAACACTAAAATAGAAATGCCGTTTGACCTATTCTCTTCCTAGATATCTTCCCAAAAGAGTTACAGATATATTACAGTGACCCACGCAGACCTATATTTACAGCGGCACATTTCATAACAGCCAAATCCTGGAAGCAGCCTGTATGTCCGCCCACAGATGAATGGCTAAAGAAATGTGAGTTCACAACCAGCGGAACACTACACGACCATAAACAAAACAAACTGGGTTCTTTGCAGAAAAGTGTGTGCACCTTGAGACCTTAACATTAAGTGAAATAAATCAGACACACAGGCTTAAATTTTGCATGGTTTCCTCTATATGAGAAACTCATTATAAATAAAGAACAAATACAAGAGAGATAACAAAAAGTAGGGAGACAGATCTTTCTCAAATGGGAAGGGGATCAAGAGATGCAGGGGGAAGAAGACGGTGAGGAGAAGGGAAGGGGTAAAAAGGGACTAGGGTGTGTCACGCGCACGTCCAACTCCCCACAGAGGGTATAAACATTAAGCCCTCGAAACATGTACTAATAAACTACAAAAGGATCATAATTAGCAAGGGGAACAGATAAAACTATCCTTATGTCTATCTTACATAAGTAAATATACAGGAAATCTAAACAGATCTGTACAATTCCAGTTGAACGCAAAGGTAAAAATTTAAAGTCTGTGTATTGCTGCCCATCAGCAGCAAATGTGAAAATAAAATTTAAAATAACAATTACAACATAAAAATATAAAATACCTAGGAATGAATGAGACAAATAACATGTAGTGCCTCTCTACACAAAACAATAGTACTATGTAGATAAACTATGCTAATTCATTAGAAGGCCCAGTTTTAAATAACGTTTTCTCCACATCAATCTGTAGATTAAATGCAGTTCCAATAAGAACCTCGACAAGCTACTCTGCATTTACTTAACTTCATTAGTAATCGGGGAGATGGAAATTAAAAGCAGGAGGTATCACGACTAGCAGACGGGATAAGGACGGGAGGACAGAGAGGGGAAGGATCCCTCTGGTGGAAGTGTAAGGCTTCTACTTTTAAAACGTTAAAAATACACCCTAGGTCTGGAATTCCACCCACTCCCACGCACATACCCATCAGAAACATGCGCAGCATTTATCATTTATTTTACGACACAGCCTCCAGACCAGCACCGCTCAACTGGGTCCACACAGGAGCGCGTGTAGTTTGGGGTGCGTTCACAGAACAGTGCATTACGTGGGAATGAAATCTACTGTAACATTTACAGATACAACTGAGCAAGAAATGTTGGCCCCAAAAGGATACTTAACAGCAAACCTGCACTTCTGTAAATTTCAAAAACCAAACCAAAACCACAACAAAAACAAGTGGGCACTAAACCATGGGGCCTTGGCAGCAGGAGCAGGTAGCAAGGAGGGGAGGGAGAGAGCTTGCTGTGAAGGTTAAGACACTGTGGTTAGCTCGGCCGGGCCGGAGGAGCAGAGACGGTGGTTACTCTGTCACAAATGGTTTACGTTTCTCTAATACATGTTGGGTTTCATGAGAAAAAGGGTTTAAAAAAATAAGTACAGTATATGCTACAAGAACACTCTATACGCAGCAAGATGACATGTAGGATTTTCTTAGAAGATTTCTAAAAGTATTTACTCTCTGGCTTTAAAAGAAAGAAAGGCCCAGAGATTTAGCTCAGTGGTTCCACCACCAGCCTCGCAAGGGCAAGGTCCTGAGTTTGATCCCCGGTACCAAAGGAAGGAAGATGTGTGTGTGTGTGTGTATAAGCTATAACACTATATCCTACAACAATGTAATTTAATTTTTTTAAGTTTTACATAAATTTTCAAGTTTAAACGTACTGCTGCCTATGTAGGCAATGAAGGAGAAGTTACTGCACTAATCTTCAGAGGGTAAATCTATTTTCCAAGCTAACTTTAAATCACAGAGCTGAAAACCAAAAGGAGTACACATCTTCTATCACTGAGTCAGTGGTGCATAGAATACACAGTTCAACGTGTTTTTGTGACAGTTGGGGGAAAACATAATTTTAGTAAGTTTCAGTTAAGACACATCAGCACTTACGAAAAGTGTCAGAAACACACCCGAACACGTTTGGTGTGCTGACACTGGGTACTGAACCAGCAGCAGCTGTGGGGACGCCGTGAAACACATTTTTTATGGCGCAGTATTTTTCTCGGCAATCAGCTGTGACCCTCACAGCTGCCGATGGGCACGGAAGCCACAGTGCCGCCTCGGAGCGAAGACGGACACGCTGCCCCGAGCAGTCGGGAGGCCTCACCCTCCACTGGCCATGTGAATTCTGACTTCCAAACCCAACAAGAAAGCAGAAGCAGGAAGGTCCTTGGCGATCACGTCCATTTTGGCGAGTCCTGCTCAGACACACTGTACAGGCACTTGGATAACGGGGTGCTCTTCTCCGACAGTCCCTTCTGAAAGTCTGCCTCGGACACAGTGCCCCAGCGGAGCTCCCCCTGGAGATGGGACAGCTCTGGCCATCCCGGCGAAAAGCTCCCAGGAGACCTGGATGAGGGCATTTGCTGAGGACAGCAGGGCACACACAGATGGATTAAACTTCAGAGCGGGGTTGGACACTAGCCTTCTAAAACAGGATCTAGGTCACAAGCAACAGTGTCCAACTTGCGTGACTTCAGCAGCACAAGGGACTGCGGGTCTACACAGAGCAGTCTATACAGGGTGAGCTCAGGCACTCCCGGAT